TATGCCATTTATAAGAGATTAATAAGTGATTAATTTGTTGGCAGAAGGTCAAGTGGGTGAGGAAGGTGTTCATTTGTAGCCTTCTGAGGGTGTCCTCTTCCATTTCATGTGACAGGGTGAGTTGCACGTCTCCATACCCCTGCCAGTTGTCAGGGCCCTTTAGGAATGTGTGATAAATTCAATATTAAATAAAGCCTGGCAGCTCTGCTCAGCAGCAGGATGAACTTGTTGACAGTCCTAGGCCGTATTCTACACTGATATTGTATCTGGCACTGTGACAAAGCAACGCAAGGCTGCAGTGGATTACATGGAAGGGGAAGGTCCCATGCATCAGTTTCTGGCATCTTTCTTTCCCCTACTCTCAACAGAGTGGCCAACGGGATGGCTGCTGGGGGAAGTAGGGCTATTCTCTCCAGTTCTTCTCTAATTCATGCAGCCCTATCACTTGCAGGTGATTGTTTCAGTGGTGATGGACACTGTTTTATTAGCGGGGGATGGGGCAATGTATCTTCTGGGAAACAGCAGCTGTCATGCCAGGGCTGCACGTGGCTCCTCCTAAAACCTGTTCCCGAAACCTTTTCCCTCGTGAACCCTGGCTCTGTGGGGGCAATCTACCCAACAGAGGCAGCAACCAAAGTCAACACTCTCCTGGCCTGATAACCCAGCGAGCTCAGGAGACAGGAATGTCCAGTGTGCTGGTAGAGGGTTCCTGAGTTTTTCTGGCACAGTTCTGCAAAGCCCAAAGCCTCTGGGAGGCGTTTGATTTTCCTTTCTGGAATTAGCTTTAGTGCTGAAGGTTGGGTTTGGGCCAGCAAAGCTTCCTTGAGCTGTCAACCATGCAAAAGACTCCTTGAGTCTGCAGAGTTTCCCTTAAACACAGCTCATCTGATGCCAGAAATTTCCCTTGCCTGAATATTATAATTTCCTCAAGTGCTGGTGAGGAATCGCCCAAAGGAAATGTGACCTTTCCAGCAATGCTGGCTTGTCTGGAGCTGGTGTTTGTGGCCATGTGTAATAGTGAAGCCAGGGCTTGGGTGCCTGTAATGCTGTTTTGCAAAAAGAGGTGTTTTGTAGTGCAAACAGAAATGAAGCCCCTCCTTTGGCTGGGGGTCCAGGGAGATGTGAAGTCAAGAGCTGGATCAGAAATGGGCAGCTGGTCCCAGTCAGAGCAGAAGCCTAAGCAACCCAAACGCCTGGCAAGCGGATACTCTGTGGCCAAAACTGAACCAGGGTGCTTTCAGCTCATCTCTAGACCTGCTGGATCTCCTCACCTCCTCAGGAAGAGTTAAGTCCCTTCTGCAGAGTGTGTTTGGCTCAACCACAACCTTCCAAAAGCTGTTGGCAGAGTAGAAGGGACCGTGTAAGAGAAATGACCCAGCCCTGTGATGAGGTCTTGCCAGAGCAAGTTGTGCTGCAGCTCCTGTCTGCTGGGGCCACAAAGAGGTCTCTCTACCCTTCCTCATCCCTTCTCCAGTTCCCCTAAAGTTTGCGTGAGGAGGTGAATTTCCTTTCACGTTGCATGAAAATCCCTCTATATAGGATGCCGGAGTGTAGCACACTCCAGCTCATCTTGCAAGTCTTCAAGCTTTTAAGTTGCCTAGCTTTCCATTTCCCTATCCTGTGATGGGTGAAATGAATTTGAGAGCTCTCAGTCCCACCGGCAGCTATGAGTCTGCTTCTTCCCTCAACCTCCCCTGTCTGAGACCAACCTGGGAAAGTGCTGGCTGGAGGTGAAGGCAGAGATACGTGGGATCAGCCTCATCCTGAAGCACTGGGTAATTATTTCTAGAAGTGGGAAAGGTGGTTGTGAAATATCACTGTGGGCTGAGCATGTTGAGTTACTGAATGCGATTGTGATGTGCAATTAGAGCAAACGGAAGACCGTGGCCCCTTCTTAGAAAATGGAACTGTTTGGAAATTAAATCTTTCCACCTTTTTGCTTCGAAAGGCAATTTAACAGCTGACCCCCTGCTCACACTTGTGCTTGTCCAAATTGGAATGGCACATCTTGTCTGGGGTCCGACAAACCCCTGTAGCTGACCCAAACACAAAAACAAATGCAAGGCTTAGTTTCTCATTTGCTCGTGTTTTTTGTTTTGTTTTGGTTTTGTTTGTTTTCCACTAAAGACAAATATTTGTGCTGCTAGGTCAGTCACAAAGTAATCATCCTTTTTCCTCTGCTTGTTAGTGTGATTACTGAACCCCAAAGCATCACTTATTAAACTTCACTCCGCTACCAGCCTGTTTGAGCATGAGAGAGAGCTCGGAGTCTGCAAATAAACTGATTTTAGGTGTTTGCTGGAGAGTGCCGGTATTCCTGAAGGCAGAGTGAGCGGGGGCTTGGTGGGGGCTTTATCTGCAGCCCTTACTGCTGAGCAGAGGCATGGTGCTCCCAGCATTGCAGCCCCACCAGGATGCTCAGTGTGTCTGAGCCACGTCCCAGCACAGCGTCAGGCAACCTGGAAGCTGGGTTGCTCCGTAGCAAAGGGAGCTGGGAAAGTTATTTCCCTGGTTTTGCAGAAAAATTCTCCTCCCCAAAACAGTCGCCCCCAGCTCTGTCCTCAGCCTGTTTGAAGGATGCAGGGACAGAATAGCGAGCCGGTGAGGTCATGGGGAGAGAGTTAGTCACATCCAACTGGGAGAGGGAGAGGGCTGCCAACCAGCGTTGCTCTCACAGTGTGGAAAGCTCATATGCTTCAGAGGGTACCCCCCTCCAAGCTCCCCTGGGCACCCTAGGCAAGCTGGGAGGGTTGGTGCAGCACCACCTCTGCAGCAGCTTCCCAAGGAGCTGGAGGAGGGGGTGAAGGATTTTAATTGAAATCTAACTTATCCTGGCATAAACATGGACCTTGCTTCTTGTAACTGGGTCGAGACGGGAGAGAGGGGGTTAACAGCCTTTCTGAATTGGAGACTATCTGGAGCTGTCGCACAAGGGAGGGAGATCATGGCAGAGTTTAATGAATGACTTCATTTATATATTAAAAAAAAAAAAAACAACAACACGGTGGCTTCCTGCCAGGCCCACAGACAAGGGTTTCTATGGGAACCTGAGGAAAAATAATAAATAGGAGTGTGGGATGAGTAGGGAAGGGAGGAGGGGAGCCCAGGCTCTGGTTTGGGTCCACTTTGTTCCCCATGGAGAGCAAGGTGGCAAGGGACGAGGAGGGGGTAAAAGGGGAAAGAGCTGAATTTGCTGCTTGCAAAATGACCCCACCCAAAATAAGGCAGACAGTAAATACACAGCAGTGGAGCATTCTCTTGGGCTAGTCCTGGGATTTGCTTTGTTCCCTATTCCCCCCTGGGTGCAGCAGGGATGGGCAACTTTTTTCCATTGGGCTCAACATCCTGGCTCTGCTGCCTTGGGGCAGGTGGGAGTTCAAGAGGGCAGTGATTTAGGGTCATCCTCAGCTTCCTGACTGGGTGGTGTGGGGAACACTGTGGAAAGGGATGCTACTGGGGCTAAGCTCAACAGTCCTGCTGCCACTGCAGAGTAAAATAGGCTCCGAGGGAATCTCTCTGGAAAGGCTAACAAGGTTCATAATGTAATTAGAAAGGCCAAATTTTTCCTGAACAAAATGTGTCGATTAATCCTTATGGGCTTTTTGTTCTCCCATTGCTGGGAGGAGGAGATACCTGTCCTGAACCTCAAATGAAAACAACATTTTAGTGAGACCCTTGGTGAAGTGAGGCCCTTTCACATGGTTCATAGTCCAGACTGTGGGTAAAGCCAGGCAGGCTGGCAGAGTGGCACTTCTGGGGTCAGCTGAAACCTGCTCCTTATTCTCTCAAACTGGGTTGAAACAAGTCTCAGCTAAGGCATTTCTGGGTTTTTTTCTCTTTTCCTTTCCACAAGTTCTTTGCCCCAATCTGAACTATGTCACACTGTATCTCCTGTTGAGCAGATTCCTCCTATGGGGACTGCAGTCCTCAGGGTGTGCCTGAGGAGGGGAAATTCAGGTTGGGCTGGATCCCGCTGCTGGTGGGAAATTGCCTTCCTGACTCTCGTGTGTATGCCTTGCCTCAAGAGCATCTCTGTAATAATGTTTGCAAACACCAGGGGAAACAGCCTTCATGGTCTGTTTTGGACGCAGCTGAGCCAGGGTGAGTGGGGTGAGGAAGCATCTGCCCCAGCATCAGCTCCACGTACCACGAGTCAGACCTGGCCAGCTCCAGCTGCCATCACAAGCCCTTTGGGTGAGTGGTGACCATCCCATGGCAGCATGTCCCTTTCTGCCTGCATCTCAGCTGGTGCTGCCAGTGGTGGAGCAGGAGCTGATCTCATGTGGCGAGCGACTGGACTGGCATTATCACCAGAGGAGGAATGTGGCATCGCTTCCTTGGGGATGTAAGAGGCCATTCTGCTGACAGAGGCATTATTATTCAGCAGCTGATATGTCTGGGAGAAGCTAAGGCAGGTTTTGCTTCTCTGCAGGGCTAGAAGGAAGCCAGGCAGGGCAGAGCAGGACATAGCTGCTGCCCTTCACCCCTGTTCCCTTGGTCCTGGTCAGGCAGGAGCAGCTCAACTGCTTGAGGAAACTCACCCCCAGTGTGCAGACTTTCCTGTCCTGGGCCAAAGCTTGAGATGAGGCTGTTAGATATCTTGCAGCACTGCAAGACCCTTTACAAACCCTTCCTGGGCTGCAAAGCTATTTTTTCAGGGAATGGTGCTTCGCAGTGGGCTTCCAGCCCGCAGGAAGGTGGCTGGTCTGGAAGGAAGGGGATATGCACCACGTGTTCCTTAGAGAGACTTGCAGGCTTTTCTGCACCCCTCTCCCAGTCCGTGTGTCCCACCTTATCCTTGCACATCCATCAGTCCCAGTGTGCAGCTCTGCTGATGGAGGTGAGGATGCCACTTTGAGGAGCACTGCTCACGATGGGAGCACTCCTCTGCAGAAGCCTCCTGTTTGCCGGGGGGGCCCAGATACCTCAGAGGATTATTACCTGGTTTCACAGGCTCTGCCTGATGGCATTGAGGATGGGTTTTCCCTCTGTCTTGGCAGGCTGACAGCACAGTGGAGCGTGGAAGATGAGGAGGAGGCGGCAAGAGAGCGGCGGCGGCGGGAGCGGGAGAAACAGCTGAGATCCCAGGCAGAAGAGGGCTTGAATGGCACTGTCTCCTGCTCGGAGAGCGCGGGTCCAGCGCAGGAAAACCAGTAAGAAATACTCGCAGATAAATCCTTCAGCAACAAACTTTCTCCTTGCAGCAAAACCCTCCTGCATCCACGGCGCGTGTGTCTCTCTTGCTTGGGGTGGGCTGGGAAGATGGAGAAGTTCTCTAATAGGTTTAGGTTGGGGATCTAGCCCACACTAGCAAATAATGTGTTTTCTTGTTTGGGCAGAAAAACACAGAAGCCATGCTTTGCTCTTGGTTTTTTTCAGCTGGATGCTGGGTGTTTTACGACCCTGAGTGTTTACACTGGGACAGCTTGGGCAAGGCTGAGCTCTGGCAGGGAGTCCTCATTGCCAGTGATTTCAGTGCCTGGTTAAATTTCAGCTGGTGAATCATCCTACACCGAAAGTAATGGGGGTTCCTGATACATGCAAAAATGGACATATGCCTGAGGATGTGGTGCACAACCCCGAGCAGATCGCAGTGCTGGTGACCAAGCAAGCAGTCACCTGTCCTGGCTGGGCTCCCCACTCCTCCCTTGGAGGATGCTGCCTCGGCACTGGGAGCATGAAGCAGCCCCTGACCTGGTGCAGTTCACAGCTTAACGGGGCAGGTCTTAAATGGAAGTAGCTCAGGAGGCATTTATGGAGATGCTGAGCTGTATACTGTCAAAGAGGAAACACCTGGAGAAGGGGCAGGATGACATGCCCAGCATCTCTCCACAGCATCCTACTGCAGCCTCCCCATGTCCATGGTTCAGAAGCGCAGATGCCATGGCAGCACTGGGACTAGCATAAAAACAAGTCTACTCTCTGAGTTGCCAAACTCGTCTCAAAGACCTCAGTCTTCCCACTATTTATGTATTTGACTTATTTCTAAATATATTGAACACAATGGAAAAGTTATATGGGGTTATAGTCAAAGACAAGCAACAGTTTCATTTTACTGGAAAAATAGCAAAAGTTATTTATAAAAATCTATTCTTTTTCCATTAAGATATTTTTTATTTTTCTTAGATCCATTCAAAATGATGCAGGACTTCTCTTTATTTTTTTCTTCTTTTTATCTGAAAGCATTGCAGAGCACCTTCACAATCTTTTGTGGAAATACACACGGTGATATTCTGCAGACAAAACCACTGCAGTCTGCTCTAAAAGCAAACAGAAGATCTGGAAAGTAATAATAATCACCGGCTTTTCCAAACCCTCCTTCAAATGGGAGCTGGAAAATAATTTGTAAAGGTCTTTAAAACAGCAGACAGGATCTCTGGTCTCCGCTTTGCTGGGAGATGCTGTGAGCAGCCTCAGGCCCAGAGCAGTGTGCAGCAGCCCCAGTAACCCAGCTTGCAGGCTCCGGTCCCATTGGCATGGGCACAGATACGCTGCAGATCCCACAGGACTGTTGGTGTTACTCTAATTTAATTGAGTGCTTAAGCAGGCAATGACAAGAAGAACTCGTAAAACGAAGGGTTTTGGTCCCTGCTCCATGATGCTTATGTTTGCTGGGCCAGGCTCAACCAAAAGGATCTTTCTTCTTCTCTGGCCATTCCCTGATCCTGTTTATGGCTGCTGACAGCCACCTGGGCTTGCTCATGTGGCCGGGCTCAGGCCTGGCTATTAATCTTCTGAAAAGCTTCGTTCTCTCTTGTGTAAATGCTGGCCCCTCCTTCCCTTGGCTCTTCCCATGCTGGGACTTACCCTGTAACTCCTGTTACTTCAAACATGCCCTTGGCATCTCCTTGCACCTAAGGGACGGAGTGAACCTTTTGTTCTTCCTTCTCCCCAGTAAAGAAAACCAGAAGTAGCTTGCAAAACAGCGGGTTTGCAGGAAAGACAGGCATGTCCTTGGGAGCCAGAGGGATGGACAGATGGGTTGTGCTGGCTTGATGCTTCTCCTGGGTTTGTTTTTGCAGAGGGGCCCAGGGAAGCAACTAGTTTTCTAACAGCATTAGGCAGTCTCCCTTGCTCCCTGGGAGTTTTTCTGATAGCCCAAACACACATTTGTGACCAGGGCCACAAATATTGGAAAGATTCTGCCTTGGACACCATCAACATTCCACCTTACCTGAAGCTCTGACCAGTGATTCAGCAGATTTGTAGTGCTCTCCTGATTCCCCATCAAATTTTCTGGGTGTTATCCTGGGGCACCCACAAGCTGCCACTACACACACAGCAGAAAATAACCCAGCCCAGGCTGCTGTGTCCTAGACTTATGTGGCATCATTGCTCGGCAGTCCAAGGGGATGCTGAGGCACTGCAGGAGCTGGGCTATGCTCAGTCTTGTGGCCTGAGCAGCGCTTTTCATTGTGCACTCCCTGCTTCTCTCCCTGGTGAGCCTGGTGAGAGCACATAGTTTTTGTAAACCCTTTTACTTTTTGGCTCCGGCAGTCAGTTAATATAAGACTCCCAGATCTCAGAGAATTACTTCATATTTCAAGCCACTGGGGTCATGGAGGAGGCTGTGCATCTCCTGGCATCTCCTAAGAGCTCAGAAAGGCAATAAAAAAGACTCACCCACATTTACTAAGGACCTCTGGGTTCTAAACTAATCTCTGAGTTGCACATCCTAATTCCCATTCCCAGGCAATGTGATCACCCTGAGCCCCAAAAGCCACCTCCTCAGGCTGATGCTTGCAACGTGATGCTTTCCCACCCAGGACCCCTCACTGGGAGGCGAGTCTTCTTGGAAACACAAGGAAAGAAGTAGGAAGAACCCAACAGTCCCTGTGCAAGGGCCAGCCCACATCTGGTGCCGGCAGCTGTGCGCCCCGGGAGGGCTGTGGCTCCACACAGCAGCAGGGTATGCACAGGCGGGGAGCTGGAGTCATGCAAGTGCATGTGACTGGCTTGAAGCTGTATGGGAACATGAGGATCCAGTGCCCTGATCTTGGGATCTTCATGCTTTCCTGTTCCAGCAAGCTGTTCAGGCCAGCTCCTGTTGATGTCTTTTCTGTGGGGCCACCTACAAGCATAGGACAAGCATAGCCGAGTTTGAAACACCTCTGATGCAAGCCAGCTAGGGCCAGCCTTCAGTGCAGATGAAAACCATGGACTTTTTGATGTGCTGCTTGTCTTTGCCTGCATGTGGCCCCAAAGACAAGCAGGCAGTGGGGTGCTCCTGCTGGAGATACGGAACTGCTGCTTCTTCCTCTCCATCATGCAACAATACCTCAAGAGACCCCTGTTGTACAAGGGTGCTCCTAAGCACGTGGCAAAGGCATTTTCCTGTAACAGAGGATAAGGCTTCAAATGGGATTTAGGAGCAGCTAGAGGAAAAAAAGATGAAATAACTGGAAGGAGAGAAGGACAGTGTCAGGCTGTGGCTCTTTCACCCCAGGTTAAGGTCCTTTTGCATTCCTCTCATCCTAACTTTTCTTCTTGCTGTGTTTCAGCTATGACTTTAAGCCATCTGGGACTTCGGAGCTGGAGGAAGATGAGGGGTTCAGTGACTGGTCCCAGAAGCTTGAGCAGCGCAAACAGAGGTGGGTAGGACACAGATGAACCAGGGGGAGGGGTACCACTGAGCCCAGCAAAAGAAGGAGAGGAGACCAAACCCGGGTCAAGTCTAGCATGTGTAAGGATGAGGCCAGAGGCTTGAGAATCAGCAGGACAGAACAGGCCCCGCACCGCTGGAACAGATGCTCTCTGCCTGCCATTTGGGCTAGCTGGGGGGAATGGCCCAGGGATGGCCTCAGGCTTTTGGGATGTTTGGATTGAGCTTTGCACTCCAAGCAATGGCAGCCTGCCAGGACGCCTGGGTTTGGAGGAGTGACAACAGCGGATTTAAGCCACCTGAGCTGCTGCAGGGGCTGAAACGACCTCTAACATAATCCAGGCCAGCCTAAAAAGCTGTTCTAAGTTATTGCTGCTTCCTGGCTCATGTCAGCATAGTGGGTGTTATGGCCCCAGCCCACCTCATGCTTGACTCCTCTTTGAGCACGGAAAAACAAGAAGCAAAGAGCCCTGAGAGGTGCCTATGTGCCAGCTGTTTAGTTCCCATCTCCCATCACTCCCTTCTTGCTGAATGGAACCAAACTCCTGCCTTAAAGCACTTCCCTTGGATACCATCTACCTGCTCATTAACTCTGTGACTCAGCTCTCTTGGCAGCCTGATTTTGTAGGGAATTTTTGACATAGCCTCTTCTTTACCCCAAAGAATTCTTTGCCCAGAGAGGTGGTGGATGCCTCAACCTGGAAACATTCAAGTCCGGGTTGAATGGGGCTCTGAGCAAGCTGACTAATTGAAGATGTCCCTGCTTACTGCAGAGGAGCTGGACTAGATGACCTTTAAAGGTCCCTTCCAACCCAAACTATTCAATGATTCTATGACAGAAAAAATGCTTAAGATTAATATTTACTGCTGAACAAATAAATAGAGCTCACAGCTTTGTTACATTTTTTCCCAAATGTCATGGCTAAACTCCTCTGCAAGCTGTACCTTTGCAGCCCTGACCCCACAAGCACTGCTCAAGCACCTTGCCTCCAAGGAGCAGCATTGATTATAACATCTGTGGGAGCAATTAGGAATCATCTGCTTTTCAGCATGCTGTCTCTTTTTCCAGCTCCCCTTGCAAAGAGTTTGCCTGAAAAAAAGGCTACTGCTATTCCCTCAGCCTTCTAAAGAGCATTAGCTGGAATTACCATTATCCTCTCCAGAAATTTCTCCTTGGGTTTTTATGTGATGTTTGTGTTTATTCTGTAGCAGGATGGGAAGGTGCTGAGCAGGGGGGATGGTATTCATGGCAGGTGAAGCCCATCAGCAGGAGGTGGTCCTTTAAAAGCAGGGAAGGTGAATGGGCACTTGGCTAAAGGCTAGCTGCTTGGAGGTCGCTAAAGGGGCTTGGATCCTGTGGGTCTGCTGAGAGCAGGCTTTTTGCAAAGGCTGAGCTTGCTTTCTAACCGGTGGCTGTGCCCTATAAAGTTCTTTCAGTAGCTTTGCCCTTGCTGACCTGCCTCATCCAAAGGACGAGCCTGGAGTGTGGTGCGAGCACGGGTATGCTGTGCGTCTGTGATGCCCCATGCTGGGACAACCAGTGCTGTGGTCAGGGTTTCCCAGCTCCCCTCTCTCCTGCTTAACTGAAGGTGCAACAAACTCTGAGTTTTCATGGGAAGGTTGTTTAAATGGTGGCTGTGAGTGAGTGGATGAAGACAGCTGCTCTCTGTTGAATGGAGCTAAAATAGCTTCTGTATCCCCTGAGGGCCTTGGTGCTAAGGCACATTTTCTTTTTGGTTCTGGTTCACTGCTTTATGGTGGGAGATCCATTGCTATCAGCTGCGTGAAAGAAGGTGTAGCTGTGCCAGCCTAACTGCCCCCTATATAAAACTGCTGTGGTCCAAAAGGCATCCTGTAGACTGTATTGCATCTGCTGGCACTAATTTTTCATATGAGCTTGCACTTGAGCTGGAGGCATTGCTGCCATCCTGGTGAAGAGCTGCTAGTTTCCTGGGCCTTCAGAGCCTATTGACTTGTGACTTACTATCCTCCCACCAACAGCCAAGCGAGCCAGAATATGCATCATCTTTTTCCCCATGTGGTCAGTGTGGAGGGTTGGATGGTGGCTGACCTGTGAGCTGCCTTCCCAGCAGCTAGGAGGTGGGTGGAAAGATCTTACTTGAACTTGTTTTCATGATTTGGTACTGGATGGTGAGGCAGAAGTGGTGAGTCAGCCTTGCCCTTTGGCAGCTGCCTGCTCGTCAGCTCTCTAGCCTTGCTCTCACAAGCCAGGTGATTTTCCAAGAAACGGGTGGGAGGAGAAGACTTTCCCCAGCCAGAGGACAGCTAGATGGCACAGCTGTGAGCCAGGGGGAGTTCTGGGTTTCTGTATTCCCACTGCCCCTGTGCCCAAAGGCACAGGCTGCTCTGCTTTTGCACAAACATACTCCTAGGTCTCCCTCTTGCAGCCTTGGAGACCTGGAGGAATTCTGTTGTACAAACCCCACTTGATTTTTTTTCTGAACCCTTAAACCAAGGGGTATTCCCATCTGCTTTTGAACTCCTGTGTTTTGCTGGGCTATGAGATGATGGATGTGAATAGGAGTGTAGTTTAGTCCAGTGGGCAAAGCTGAGGCGTGGGATCAAGTGTAGATATAGCATTGCTTGCAAAGCACTGTGCCTTGCAAATGGCAACCCTCCAGGTGAGTGGCTGTGCAGCCTTGCCCTGCAGTTTAGTTTCAGCTAGAGAAAAGAGGAATCTTGAGAAGCATGTCCATGTGTTGTTGGTTGCATCCTCCTCCAGCAAAAGACTCTGTTAACATGGAAGATGAGTTTAGGCAGAGAAGGGCTGTGTTTGGTGCCCCACATTGAATTGATGCTGGGAACTGCGGGGACAATATCAGAGGTGTGTCTGTGTGCAGGACTGCAGGGCATGCTGGTTCACCTGGGATTTTAGCTGTAGGCAAGCACGGAACTGAGTCAACACCACATCATGGTGGCAGTGGTCTGGGCAGAGGGCAGCTCTCTGCTTTCCTGTGGGTCTGCCCATCATGATGTGCAGATGCCTTCAGCTCTGCCACAGCTCTTAGCTGAGCTGAGTCTTGGACATTTGAAGTGTGGGAGTGTGGCATGACTCTTGTTACATCTGGGTGCCTGTTACATCAGGCTGTGAGCCCTGGTGTAGAACACCCAGCAAACTGCAGGGTTGGGGAACTGAAAAAACTGGATTTCTAGAGGTCTGAGGTAGCTGATGGTGTCTGTAGGCCCATAATGATGTGTTTTTCTTCTTTGATCTCTCTCCCACCTCTAGGTCTCCGCGACCATCTTATGAAGAAGAGGACGGTGGTGTGATGGAAGCAGAAAGCAAACTGGAGCAGATTCAGCTGGATCGGGAAAGCCCAGAGGAGATCCGGGAGGAGAATGTGGTTATTGGAGAGGAAGAAAGGTTGTGTCAGGAGGAAGAACAGGCCCAAGAGCAGGAGGAAGGGGAGCAAACCAAGCAAGAGGTGGGATCAGGAGGACCTGACCTTCTTCTTTCCAGAGGACTGGTGGGAGAGCTGGTGCCGCGTGCTGCTCTCCCAGATCTTAGCTCACCATGGCTGCTTATGCTGCTGGGTGCTGAGCTATTAGAGGATTAGACATGCTTCCATGGCATAACCTGGGGCTTGTGCTACTCTTGCCTACGTGCCTTCTTGGGGTCACTGCAGGCAGCCTCTGCCCTTTTGTGAGGGTGGTGTGTTTGCTCCCAGAGTCTGTGGTGGTTTTGCCATGTCCCTGTAATATTGAGGGGGAAAGTGCTGCTTCTCCTGTTGTTTTGAGGGCAGTGAATAGCTTTATGGGAGAACTCAAATCTAAATTATACTGCTTGTTTTTCTCTCACCAGCCTTTGTCACATCTTTGTAGCACTTTGTCTTGATAGTTCTCTAGTCTTGCATTGCTCCCAGCTGAGGCTTTCTTTCATTGCTCTGATAATTTCTGGTTAAGGGGAGAGAGAGACAAACTGGAACTCGAGTGGTGTGCGAGTCCATGAGGGTGGCTGAGCTTCAAATGTCATTTGTTCTAAATGGATTTTAACTGAGAATTTTGTCTGAGGGTGGTGTGATTTTTTGCATTTGAACTGTGTGTGACTCTTTCCAGCCCTTCATTCTAAGGGCAGCTTCTCTCTCTCTCTCTATCCTTGTGGCCTTTAAACGAGAAAGTCATGTTTTCTTATCGCAGTCGAGTAAGAAATCTTTAACTGACACAAGGACCCCTTTTCATACCATTTGGGGACCTTGAACCTGAAAAATTTGTGATTTCTACCCTCCCTTCCAAATGACACATGAGCTCCTTCCTGAATGTTTCCAAATTAGATAATATGAACTCAAAGCTTCTGCACTTTCATGTTTGTTTAGTGAAAAGCAGGAAGCCTGGGAGACAGGAAAAATCACTGGTGTTGCATAATAAGCAGTTTGACCAGCTCACTTCCTGGCTTGTTCATTTTCTGCACTCAGGAAAAGAAGAGAAGAAGAAATGAGGAAGAAGAAACACCGGAGAAACGCCAGAAGGCCCCAAGCCTTACCAGCCTGGAAGAGGAGGAGTTGTGCTCTGACCACACTGCAGTGTGCTCCACGAAGGTTTGTGTGCCTGGGGCCCCTCTGGAGGCATGGCAACTATTGTGATAAAGCACCTAACTAATGATGAGGAAAATGATCCTGGCCTTATGGCAATGTGGGGTGTGAATCCTGTTATCTGTCCTGCTACAGGCTGGGACTAACCACTTGCACAGTTTGCCTCATCTTCCATGGGTGTCCACCTCCTCTCCTACTTTGCCTGTTTGAGCTGTTGAAAGCTGTAACAGTCTCTGTGTTTGGCAATCACTGTGAAAGTCTGAAGTTCAGTGAGGACTCCAGGGAATATTGTAATACTGAGAAAGATGTCTGTGCTTTCAACTTGTATAGTCTTTAACCAAATTCACAAGAACTTAATCAGAAAATGAAACTTCCCTTCCAAAAAAAAACCCCACGAAAACCCCCAGTAACTGAAACACTAGCATTTCTCTATCTTACTTGGACTAAAATGTATGACTTAAGTTGTTTAAATGAACTGGAATTCCTGATCTCTGAAGCATCATGTCCTTCCCAATCACATCTGTTTGCATTGATGCTCTTGTGAAACTTCTGTTGTTAGCGCCACCCGACTTGCACCTTGTGACTTACATTGCATTTACTGTAAATCCTCAGTTCTGTGTGTGCGCTTTTAAATACAATACAGATAAGTAAGTGATTCTGCACTGAATGTTCTTTTGTCTTTGTAAGCCCTAAGCTTTTTGATTGTAGCAGTGAGGAAATAGTGAGGAGTCTGTGTAGCCTGTTAATCTTCTGTTGGTATTATATTTGATTTTTTTTTCTTTTTTTTTTTTTTTTTTTTAATTTAGGTCTGTGCTATTTGCTACTTAGTCAGTCAGCATTTCCTGGCTAGGGATGATTGTATGAGCACTTTCTTTTTCATCAGTAAATAGATTGCAAGAGGAAGGTTTCGTCATCTGCAACCATCAGATTCTTGCTCTTAACAGAGAGACCTTTTTTGTAATCAACTAAAAAGAGGGGAGACAGGGTGGGTTTGGATGCAGACTATGTAAGGTTTGAAAAGTGGGGTGGGGGTAGCCAAAGCGTGTTTCTGGAGTGGGACTGGTGGGGAAACGTGGGAAACACTTTCAGCAACTTTTATGAAACTTCTGTCATTACAAGCCCGAAACACACATAACTTCTTAACCTCAGCTTAACTGCTGCTGCTAGGATTAGCCCAGGGAAAGGTTTTTAGAAATACAGTCTCTGTGTTTTATGATCATGATGTCAGAGCGCACCCCTATGCCAAGCTGGATGTAAAGCTGTTTAGGAAAAATGTGAACTTGGAATCTTCCCAAAGGAAGGATGAAGTTTACACCCTAGCTAGCAGGGCTTTGTGACCACTAAGAACTAAAACACATTGACCATCAAGAAGGTGTTTTGGCACTGGAAGCTCAGCAGAAACTCTGCTTGTAGTGGAAAGACAAAAGCATCTGCAGTCAGTGGTGTGTTCCCCTGCTGGCTGTGGCTGGTGGAGGCCAGGTACAAGTCTGGGGTGGGCTGATGTTGGGTTGCAGTGTGATTGGTTGGGGTGTCCAGGGCTCAGAGGGCCAGTATGGCCTGAGGGCTGAATAAGTGGTAAGGGGGAAGCCTTGTACCAGTCCTGTTTTGTCCCAGGCTGCTTGTGAGCCCTGAGTCTTGAGGTTGGCTGAGAAGAGCTGAAGAAACAATTGTGGTTTCTTCTGGCCTTCAGAAAGTGGTTTGGACCAGAGAAATACACAACTCTTGCTGCAAGGAATTGCCATGCAGGGTAGGGGGAGGTGGTCTCCAAATAGCATAATGAAAGTTTGTTCCTACCTAGACTGTCATGCTGAGATACACTGTCATCTCTAGCTTTTTCTCGTCCCCTCTAGAAAACCTCTGTTTAAGCTGATGCTCGTTTACAACCTTTCAGAAGCACCTGTGGGTGGTTTGCACCTGCACACCATGTCTCAAGGCTTTTTGCTATTGATATGTACTTGTGGTTGAGAAGCAGAGACACGGGCAGAGATCTGCCAGATTGCCCTTTCAGGTTACTGTTATGCCCCATGAGGTAGCAGCCTGCCCATCAATGAGCCGGGTGGTCAGTCCAGTCTCTGAAGTCATGGCTCAGAGGCAAGCATTGCTTCCTGGAACACCAAGGAGAGGAGTGAGCTGGCAGCAGGCAGACAGCCTGCCTGGCAGAAAGAGCTGGCTGATGGGCTTCTGTCATGCTGCTGTGTTGGGACCCTGCGGAGTGGCTCTCCCCACGTCATCTCTATTAGCCAGGGTTGCACTGTTTAGTTGTTGTTCTCTAATGGGCCTTGTGCTCTTTGGCACAGCTGGTGAATGTGTCCTCTATGTGACACTGTCTTGTCTTCAGTTTAGCTAGAATTTAGCACTGATATCCTGAAAGCATCTTAAAAGGATCATTTAGTGCTGTTTTTTATCTGCTAACTTGGTAGGTGATGTTTCCTGTGGCACAGGCAGCAGTTTTACAGGGGGAGAAGGCTCCTTGTTACTTGGTTGCTGCTCCTTGACTCTGTGGGAGCTGATGTTAAGAAAGCCTCCCCTTTGACTTCAAGGTGATCTTTCTCTCTTGTTTTCTGAGGCATGAAAAAGTTGCGATGTTTAGCAACATTTGGGCTTTCCTTTCCTGCAGTGGTTGTGAAGTGCTTGCTTGTCTTCCTGTCTTGGCCAAAGAGTTATTGCACGGGAGCATCTGGTGCAAAACTCTTTCCTGATGGCTTGACGTGAAGAGCTGCATTGCAGGTGGCTCCGTGTGCTGACTTGCCCTGTGCGTGTGCTTCTCTGGTCTAAGTTGATCTAACTCATGCCTGTGCTGTTCCCATGCTTGGCTTTTCTTCTGTAGATGCAGCTGGCAGTGCCTCTGGTTTTCCCCCTTGCCTTTCCACACTTGCCGCTTTCCCTGTTGTGTCTGGCTAGGGAACCAAGAGTCCGGGAGGAACCTGCTCCTTGATCAGAAAGAGTAGAGAAAATGGTCTTGGTTGTTGCTTCAGCTGTCAGTTAAGCTGCACATTGTTGGTTTGCCCCTGAAACTGGTTGGGATTCTGCTCACCTGCTGTGGAAAGAAGGAGGAAAGGGAATGCTCGCTGTCTCTCAGCAGTATGGGAACATGGGACTGAGCGAGGCATTTCTAACCAAAATGTGGGTGAGGGATCAGGGAAAAGAAAATGGTCTGCTAGGGTGACCACATTCATCTGGGGTCCATAGAAAAAAGTAATATCTTTGTCTTTTTTTTTTTTCTCTGACTTCAGATCACGGACAGAACTGAGTCGCTGAACCGCTCAATACAGAAAAGGTATTTCTAGGGTTGACCTCAGGGTAAAGCGGGTCACTTCCTGCAAATTGAGGATTCCAGCAGGTCCTGCTGTGGGGAAGGGCAGGAGCAACAGGCTGCCTGTGGCCCTTGAAGTCCTCCCTTCTGCTTGAAGTGCTGGGGGAACACCTTAATCCTTTTCTCTCCTCTGCTCTCCAGTAACAGCATAAAGAAGACTCAGCCTCCCCTCCCTGTGTCCAAGATTGATGACAGGCTGGAGCAGTACACACAGGCTATTGAGGTGGGCTGCTGTGTTGTCTCTGTCCCCACTCGCCAAGGAGCCCCCTTTCCTGGTGTTGGTCTCCTACTGTGCCTCTTAGCTTTACCATCTGGGAGATGACAACTAAATTGTCTCTTCTTGGGTGGGAGTGCTGCTTGTTCCTTTCTGTATCTCCCTCCATAGCATAAAGCAGGTTTTTTAAGCAAGCTGTCCCATCCTTGTTTCCTTATGTTCCTTGCTAAAAGTGTGGAAGTTTCTGACAGGAACTAGTAAGACTCTACAAGTCTCCTTTCATAACCCCTCCTCCCTGAGGACCTTCAATTACAAGGGTTAAAAAAAAAGGGGGGGGGCGGCAGAAGCACACTCTTTGATGGTGATGTGTCTCCATTTATTTTCCAGACATCCACAAAGGCTTCAAAACCTGTTCGGCAGCCTTCTCTTGACCTTCCTACCACGAGCATGATGGTGGCCAGCACAAAAAGCCTCTGGGAATCTGGGGAGGTCACGTCGCAGTCTGCTGCGAAGCCCTCTCCTTGTAAGGTACGGCACTTGGAGGATTTGCCTTGCTTGTGAAGGAGACAAGAGACTGGCCCTTGGGCACAATATGCACTGCCCCGTGTTAGCCTGTTGGTGTGGCTCGTTCGTGGTGCCTACCAACTCTTGGCCAAGAGATTCAGTCTCTTCTATCAGGTTGCAAGGCCTTGTACCTCGGAGATTCAATTTGTCTGTGTTAGGGTCCCCAGTTATTCCTTGGTGGTGCAGCTAGGAAAGCCTCTGTGATGCTGGTTGAGGCTCCAACCTGAAATGGGAATAAAATTGGCTGGTGGGGAGAGTGCCTGTGTCTTCTGCAGGGGCTTGGACTGAGCTCCAGTTGTTGAGCACCAAAGTGATAAATCTTGTAAACTTGGAAAATGCACAGAATATTAGGTATTGCTCTTGATGATTTCACTTTCTGGTTGTTGTGATTGAGGCTGATTCTGTAACACATTGGTTGCAAATCTGTGTATATGTGAACAAAATTTTTTGCACTTAAAGAAGCCTTGTTGCTAACATGTCCTAAATAGTTAGCAAACTTAAGAAAACAAACATCATGGAACTGATTCAGACTCTTGTTGAAGAGACTTAAGGAGAGGAAAACATAGGATATATACTGGGAACAGGAAGAAGTTTTCAAGATCATGGGTTTTAGCTGCAGCTGTTATAGGTCAGATGATGTGATATAAATAAAAAGAAGGTCAGATGTGTGGGTTTGAAATGAACATGAACAGGGGCACGTTCAACAGCATTAGCAGTGAAGGGTAATGAGAACATCATCTTCTCAGGATATCGTGGCTGGAGACATCGTGAGTAAAAGAAGTCTTTGGGAACAGAAGGGCAACCCCAAACCTGAGAGCAGTATCAAGGTGAGTTAGTGTCTGTGAGTATGAGAGCACTTGGCTGGATTGGAAGTATTGAGAAGATGGTGATGTTCTACAGGGACAATGGCTACCTGTCCCTATCGAGGCAATTGCATGCCTAAGAGCTCTTCCTAACAGTGCAATGCTATTCCTTCAGCCCTAGTGAAAATGGGGGCAAAAATTAGTTTTATATCCAGTAATGCTGTAAGGTCTCTTGAATAGCATGTCCTCAGCCCATGAGCTGGGAATCTCAGCCTCTAGGCTCTAATGGAACTGCAAATGTGAGTTACTTTGCTCTTGTTACATTTTTTAGTATTGCAAGTAAACAAAACATGCAAAACTAAGTGGAACTGAACCTAAGGCAGTATCAACATTTGCAGGTGGATCCGGGGTTGTGAGGGAATGTTTGTAGAAATATTTCTTAAAATGCAGCAAGGAGAAACTGCTCAAACTGACCAGGCTGGGAGAGGAAGATCAAAGTATCTTGTCAGTTCCGGGGTTGGAGCTGCCAGTATCTGGTAAATAAAACCAGCTCTTGCCATGGGTAAAAACAACCCTGGCTTGGGGGTTTGGGCTCTTAGGTGAGTCTTCCCTCACAATGCCTGACATTGCATCTTCTCTTTCCTGTTGCACATCCTGTGCTTGCTGTGTTATCCTGTGCTTATAGAAAGTGATGATGGATCTGTGCAAAGAACTTGTGTGGAAGGGGCCAGAAGGGAGTACAGAGTAGGCTGTCTCCAAGACTTCTGGTATTAAAAACAACTGTATCAAATACTCATCTGGCTTCAGTTATTTGATGTTGACTGTCTGTTTAATGGAGAAAAATGCTGACTTTGGCTCTTTTTTTCTCTCCTGTTCAGTCCGTTCCTTCTGGCAAAAAGTATAAATTTGTTGCAACAGGCCATGGCCAGTACAAGAAGGTGTTGATAGATGACACTGCAGAGCAATAGTGTGCCTGGAGAACTCATTAACCAGGTAGGTGGGATCTGACCTTGCACTATGTAACGAAGTCCTGGGCTGTTCTGGCAGGATGTTGGGGTTATTTCTGCCAGCTGCACTTTGGGTGAGTTGGAAGGTCCTGTATGGGAACATCTGGAGCCTTGCTTCTGGGCCTGACTGTCTGAGCTGGAAAAGCGTGGGTACACAGCAGGTTTTTGTTTTTTTTTTTTTTTTTTTTTGCCTCTGACTTTCTGATGCTGATAGGAAGCTGGATACCTGTGTTAGTTTAATCTTCAGGATAAGTCCCTTAGCTGCTGCTCCTTGGGTGAAGATGTGTTTGCCTTTGCTAGTTCAAAGGAATAGTCTCAATATGCTCTCTTTTCTTATGCTCTCTTATGTTGCAAGGAGAAGTACATAGTTGGAGGTAATTCTATCTGAACATGGGGGCTGATGTACTTCTGAAATTCAAGTGTTTCTGGGGTCTAATTCCCAGATTTACTGAATTAATCATGGTGAAAACTCTTCATGACTCCAGTAGCCTCTTGGAACGAGTTGATAATAAGGTTGTAGCAGGGAGGATGTGAACATCTGTTGTGCTGGATAGACCAACAGAGCAGAAAGAGCTGCTCTCTGATGTGCAGCAAGGGGGAAGGCAGGACTGGGTTACTGTCTCTGTGCTCTCTTGAAATGGTTTTTGGATCTCAAGCTCCTATTGTGTTTATGCTCCCAGATACCCTGGTGTTATCTTGAGTGGCTGATAGTGGATTGCAGCAATAAGGAGGAATGGTGTAGAGGGAGGTGATAACCAGTTGGATCCAACTGGGCAGCATCTGGCACAATGAGTGGAGAGGAAGTTGTTGAGGGTGAAAACAAGCTTATTCTCTTTTTTGCTACTATAAAAAAGAAGCTTTATTTCATAGCCAAGCTTATAAATAGCTCTGTCTGCTACAAAACACCTTTTGTTTCTGAATTCTTCTGGGACCTATGTTCCTTCCTTCCTTCCCCCCAACCCCCACCCTTAAGGAGATGGCTTCTGAGTGCAGCATATTGTTTTGTTTGTTTCGTTTTGTAGTGCCCATTTGGAGGAGAAGCCCTTTTGAACGCTACTCTGAGAAGAGCAGCAGTACAAACTCAAGGCTGCCCAGAGATGTGTTTTTAGCCCACAGAACTTGTATCCTCAGCTTACTTCTCTGTCTGTCTTTCAGGAACCTCTCTTAAGGTTTCCTCTTTGATCAGAATCTCCGTTTTCCTGAAGTCTGTTTCAGTGCACCAGGTGGGAGCCTACTGAGCTTCAGTTCTTTACAGCAAACAGGTTTTGCTTGGTTGTCAGCAGGTTTGTTTGCCCTACCTGAGCTTCTCTAAACAGCTCAAATGAAAGTGCCTTTGGTTCTGGTCTTTGTCCAGCATCCTTTTTTGAAAGGCAGGAACTGTCATGGGATGTGCTCTAGGATCCACTCAGAACTCCAAACAGCTGTGGTACCAACATTGTTGCACTGTGGGTTTGTTCAAAAGGAAGTTGTTTTGTTTTTACTGTGAACAGCAAAATGACTGCAATAGCTGAAGGAACTTGGCTTGTTTCTGTTCTTAGGTTTTAGCTTGCTGTTTGGTATGCTGTGACCTCTCTGCTCCCCAGCTCCTCTCCACCCCCTGAACTATGTTCATCCTTTTCTGTATTACTGGATCACCTTGTTGTTGCCTTCTTGCTCCCAAACCCTTCTGGATTATCCCCGTGTCACTTTCTTAACACCACCTTATCAGCTTTCTAGTTGCTTAAGCACAGGTACAGTTTTTGCTCCTCTCCTCCCTTCCTGAGCTGCTGGACCTCAGTGCAGGCTTTGGAGCAAGAGGTTTTCTCTAAGTGGCAGTTTGGGCTCTTAGCAACTGCCTGAGGCTGTTTGACATTGAAAAGTACCAAACCCTGTGCCCTTTAGCATCCCTCTTCCATTTCTCAGCCCAGCATCTCAGGCTGGGACATACTGCACTGACTTCCAGTGCAGAGCCATTGGTGAAAATCTGCTGCTTACAGAGATCTGTCCTCTGTGATACTTTCATGTCAGAGTCTGTCTCTGCAGAACTTTCCATGCTTGCTGTGTGTCTCTGTCCTTTGCTCTAGGGGTAAAAGGGCTTAAACCATGCAGCCAAACCTGCCTTCCTTTGCTTCCTTTCTTATGTTTGGGAGAACTGTTCTCCCCAGTGGCATTTCTCCATCCTTCATCCCTGTGCAGTGGGGCTGGGTTTGTGGATGCAGCCTGGTTGAAAGCGCAGCAGATGCAGAACATGACAGCCTTAGGTGAGAGTTGCTGGTTTGTTCTGGGTGGTTGTCCTTGCTGCAGGACAAGAGCTGAATTAAAGCACAATTGCTTCTTAAACCACCTTCTCTGCCCAGATTCACTTCGTCTCCCAAATGTAACTGATGTTGGCTGTTCTCCCTCATGCTAATTCTGTGGATCTTGTGCATGCTGATTCCTGAGCATAGGCATCCATTCACTGTGCTACAGTAAGGTGCCATTTATTGCTCATCTTTATCTGCATTAGGCATTTCACATGTTTTATGCAGCACTCTTTGATTTTTGTGTTTGTACTGCTGTGTGGATCTTTTTGTATAGCCTTCTCTTCCAGCGATGTTAAATTATCCTGCAGAGGCTTACCTGGCATCCACTTGTGATTACTGATGTGTTTCCAACCTACCTCTTTTCAGCTTTTTCTTGAAAAACTTAGGGGTGTTGAGAAATCCTATCTTTAGATAATTGGGTTATTCTTTTTTTTTCCTTTGAATAGGAAAAGGATTACAGAATAGAGAGGATAAGACTAGCAAAGTGAAAACTTAAGTGAAGGTTTGATAACTGAGCTGCTCTTATAGCATCATCACAAATTTGGAAGACTTCAAAAAAGCAAAAGGGGTTCTTTGTTTTGTTTCCAAGTCTCTTCATAGTTTGCCTTGAGGAACTTTTGGTCAGTTCCATATCCTCTGCACACAAAAAGAGTATAAAGAGCTGTGTATGGAGTTTCCTATTTGGAGTAAACATGGCAATCCTATATTAGCTGTGTAGGAGCACCCTAGCCTATGAAAAAGTCCCTTGTGAAACAGAAATAGCTGATCTCCCAGCTTTCAGGCTCATAAACCTGCTGGCAATGGAGTTGCAAAGGATGACTAATACTCGAAAGCACAGCTGTCTCTTAGATGGGCAGAGTTGGGGACTTTCCTTTAGATACCCTCTTTTATCAGGACATCAGGGACAAGCAGGTAGGCAAATATCCTGATTTTCCTCTTGAAAATGAGGCTACATGTGGTTAGCATAACCCCTAAAAAAACCCATCTTATTAAATACACAGAGTTGGATACCTGTGTGCTGAAGAAGGCAAGTTTAGTTATGGAAACCATCATCTGTGTTTGAGAAAACATGATAAAATACGTAACAGAACTTGATTACTGAAATAGTGTTCTGTGCATTGTGATTTGGTAGACTGACCTAGGAGGATGTCAGATAATAATGCCCACTTTGTTAGGCAGGAGAACTGCTTTGTGAGAGCAGAATATCTTACGCTGTCCCTTATTTGTGCTGGTGAAAGGATGAGTTTCCATTTTGTTCTCAGCAAATGGATTAGGGGTGCACTTTCAGTGGAGAAGGCAGAGAAGATAGCTCAAAATGTATGTTACTCTCTTTCCATGTGGTTTCTAAGACTCAGAGAAGTGGAGCAACCCAGATTCCTTCAACTTCATCTTCAACTGCTGCTGCTTCTAGGATCTATCTTGGTCTTAGAAAAACACAACAAAATCCCTTAGATTCCCGTTATCCTTCTCTAAACTGGTCTTTTTCTACTGGCAATTTGTCACCTTCACTGTGTGCCTCCCCTCCCTTCCCTCTGTTACTGCATACAGTGCTGCTTGCTGCCTCTTCTTATAACAAGTGTGTATCTGTGTTCCTATGACCTGTGGATGTGGTATGTTATACACTTAGGCTTATAAACATATGGAGAGTAACCCTTAAACCTGCAGCACAAGGCTGCTGATTTTGAGGGCTTTTATTTAATTTCCTTTTTTTTTTCCTTACACTTGGCTTCGATGGGCAGTAAACCTGGTCTTAGGTGTTCTCTTGCTTGGGTGCCCTGCAGGAATCTCCAGAGGCATGGAGCTGCCTGGCTTCAGTTGGCTGACCATCCTGATGCTGTTCTGTTAAAGTTCTTGGTGTGCTCCTCAGCTGATTTGGGTCTAAACCGGCTCACCTCAAACACAGTGCTGAACTTTGTCATGGGTTTGGTGGCCAGTTCCTTCAGTTTCCGGGCGTCAAAACGTGGCTTGTGCAGAAGGATGGGCAAGCGGCGGGGAAGAAAGAAGCCTTCTTCCTTCCGTGGCTTCTTCTCTTCTGCTTGCTGCTTCGTCTGCTTGTTGAGTGTCACCTGGTATAAAATAGCATCCCACATTTTCATGGCTCTTGATTTAAACTGCGTGCAGTCTTGGCTGATGACTGCTTGAGCAGTGTCCTCTTTACTCCCTTCCTCCTGTTCCACCTTTTCTGGCTTGGGCTCTGGGAAGCTGGGTGCTTCTGGCTGCACCATCAAATGCTTCTTGAGGCGATGCCAGCCACTGGCACTGGTTCCAGGTGGTCTCGCTGCTTCTGCTGCTGCTGGTGCTGGCTCAGCTTTGAGGGGAAGGCTGGGGTTGGGTAAGCTGGGGCTCAGTTGAGTTTCAATGATGTGTTCTGCCTTCGTGTCTGTGGAGGTGGACCCGGTACCATCAGCTGATGCTGGAGTTGCTGTTGCTGGGTGTGCCTGCCTCCAGGGAGTGCTGGATGTCGATGGCTTTAGGATGTCTCTGTCTTCCTTGGGTAATTCAGGAGCTGTCTCTGATCCAGATATTTTGGTGTCACTTCCATGAGTTGTAGGCATACTGGTGTGGGCATCAGAGGTGCTGGGCTTGGGTGAAGGAGCCTTGATGGACTCTTCAATAGGATCAGGCTTGGGAGCTTGATCAGGAGGCTCTGTGTCTGCAGCAGGAAGGAGGGGAGGTTCCAACAGGGAAAGCGGGGCCTTGCTGTCATCAGGTGAGGTGGGAATGTGCTCTGGAGATGGTTCAGAGCAGCTTTTTTGAGGTGCTGGGGAAGAAGGTCTTGTGTCTTCATTGCTTACAGTTCCTTGTGTCAGGTTTGATGTGGGAGTCTTAGCCCTAGGTGGCTTGACACTGTGGAAATAAGTGTTCACCTTGGTGACATAGGTAACCTCTGGTGCCCTTTCTTTACTGGAAGGAGGAGGCTCGGGGAAAACAGATATTAGTGGGTCACATGGAGAGGGAAGGTGGGAGCCCATGTCTTCAGGCTTCTGTGTAGTCTCAGGAGCCTCTGGTTTGTGTAGCAGGGGCATGGCCGAGGAGGTTGTGAGCAGGACATGTTCAGCAATGCGCCTCTGCTCAGTGACCTTCAGTGTGAAAGGCTTGCTCTTTCGGAAAGGGGAGGAGGCGCGCTGGTTGATGGGCCTGATGGAGATGTGAGTTGGCAGGCTGGTGGATGGGGGTGCTGCGGTTTCAGGGGTCTCTGCTGGGGTAGTACTTTCATCGTACTCCTCTTGGTCAGGGCTGGCCTCGTTCACAGGTGAGAGGCTGGACCGGAAGGACTTGGCTTGCTCTGAAGCAAAGACAGCATTCTTTTTGGCTGCCTTTTTCAGCAGCCGCTGGAGCCGCAGGTTGTCCTTCCCAGGCTTTGGTAGGGTGGGAGGGGGAGAAAGGTGGTGGTGGATGGGAGCAGGCTGGATGGAGGATGATACTGTTATCAGCATTGTCATTTCCTGTGAAAAAACCCCAAAGTTTAGAGTTGGTGTGGGCTTAGCCCTGGGCTAGCTTCTGAAGCATTCATACATAAGTTCTTCCCCTCCTCTCTCTAAAAGCTATGAGTATGGAGTCAGTACTGTGGGAGAAGAGCATCAGTCTTGGTTTCCTTACTCTCCTGGCATAACCTCAGCCAGTCTTGAGGGTGGGTGTGGCAGGGCAAGAAATGTACTGGGGGAAGCTGTATTGCCAAATCTGGAGCTCTTCCTCTCCTGGCCTTAGCACAAAATCCAGTAAGAGCTCTTTGGGACCCCAGACGTCCGTGCCTTGGCAAGTCCTAGTGGGATTGGGAAGGAAACGTTGAGGGAAACAAAGTGGGTCTGAAATCTTGAAGCTTTGAAACATCTCCAGAGGCACAAACCAGGAATGTTTCATGGCTTTCCAAATTTTGGTTATTAATACTCTGATACAATGTTACATACAACAGAACAGTCATAAACTACATGTGTCATTTGAGTCAAAGTCAACACTTGCCCTGATTGATTTCATCTGGCATGAAGGCACCCCTGTGAAATGCAGCGCTTCTCAAAAGCTGTGTTTATCACTGAGAAAGTGCTTTGTCACAGCACTAACTTGGACTGATCTTTCCTTGCTGCATGTAACATGGGGCAAATCTTTCCTCCTGCACTCCTTTCTAGATAAAACCAAGTTTTCTCTTTCCCTTGGAAAGCTTTGCCCCTTTATCACTTAGTATTTACTGTTACTATCCTGCCTTTATCATTTACTATTCTGTGAAACAGAAGTGGCTTGTGGTCTGAGTCAAGTCTTATCTCCAGTGGCAATTGCAGCCCTTTGACCAACACTGGGCTGCTCCTACAGGGATGCATGACTGCTTTTTCTGCTCTCTGTCGCTAACTCACCACCATCTCCTCTTCTCTCTGGTGAGCACTGCTCAGATTTCCTGACAATGGACCTAAGGGTCTGTATTGGGGATAGAAAGATAAAACTACTCTCAGTTCTCCCCTTTCTCTTCCTGAGCAAGCTGGGGAGCACCAAACACTCAGCCTCTGACCTGCAGTGACTTTTTGAAGCCCCTAGAAAGAAATCTGGCTCTGTCCTGGCTCTTGCTCAGCACAGAGTTGCTGAGTTTTGCTATGAAATGAGGCATAAATCACTGAGCTCCTCAGCCCCTGGTGGTGGATGCAACTGAACATCCTGAAACAAGGAAGAGGAGGCTGGGGTGATGTCAGGCTTGCTCAGAGGAGCTATTTATTGCATGTGCTGTGCTGGGTTCCTGGTGGCTCCCAACCTGCTCTGGTTAGTGTGGCTGTGTAGCATGATACGTACTGTGCGGGAAAACTATCCTGAATCAAACTCTCAAAGGTGCAGAACAGCTATTTGTGCTTCAGTGCCTGGTGTTAGCTTTGGGTTTGCAGTGCTGCTGTCAGCACTGGGCTGGGAAGGTGATCTGTACTGAGCAAGCAGGTGGTGTATCTGCCAAAACTGGTTGTGAATCAGCAGAGAAGGGTGACTTAAAAAAAAAAAAAAAAAGGCAGCAGCAAATACAAGGACTGAAGAGGTGGCATGTAGTGCTCAAAAGCTTTGAGACCAAGCCCTCACCATGGTGGATGAGCTGTTCCCCAGAGCAGAGGCTGTGGTGGGAAGGTTCTGGGCAGTGTCTAGCAAGTGGTGTACTCAGTACAGGAAGGACATGGATCTGTTGGAGCAAGTCCAGTGGAGGGCCACAAAAATGATCAGAGGGATGGAACACTCCTATGAGGACAGGCTGAGAGATCTGGGGTTCTTCAGTCTGGGGAAGAGAAGGCTCTGGGGAGACCTTATTGTGGCTTTTTAATATGCAAAGGGGACTTATAAGAAATATAGGGACAAAGTTTTTAGTAGGGTATGTAGTAATAGGGCAAAGGGTTACAGTTTTAGACTGAGATGGTTAAGACTAGGTATAAGGAAGAAGCTTTTTTTATGGTGAGGGTGGTGAAACACTGGAACAGGTTTCCCAGAGAGGTGGTGGATGCCCCATCCGTAGAAACATTCAGGGTCAGGTTAGATGGGGGTCTGAGTAGCTTGATCTAGTTGAAGATGTCCCTGCTCATTGTGTGGGCATTGGATTAGGTGACCTTTAAAGGTCCTCTTCAACTAAAGGTCCTATTCAAACTATTCTATGACTTATTTTGGCTGCAGGCATGAGAAACCTTCTGTAGTTTTGGTGAGGGGGCTTGGAGGGGATTTGTGCCAGCTGGGGGTGACAACTGTCAGGCATTCCCAGTGTCTTATCAACTTCGTGCTTTAGGCACAAGGCTGGGATTAGGATTTGCTTTGTTCCAAGAGCTACTCTTAGAAGCAAGTCTGCATTGTCCCCAAAAAAGGCTGAGACCCCATTCTTCCTCATATATCTGCTCTCCTCCCCAGTTCATGGATATTTTACATTCTTCTGGGTCAGAAAGCCAAAATGTCTGTTGGAGGGGTATGTGTTTTTGGGCTTTTTTGGTGTGTTTTTTTTGGTTTTTTTTTTTTTTTTTGCGCAATGCTACTCTGGGTCTGTTTGTGTAGGAGTTGCTAATTGCTTGCTGAGTTTTTTGTGCTTTCTTCTAAATCTGCTGAAGGGTGAGCAAGTACATGCATCTGATGGTAGGATTTACTGTGGAATGATTTAATCTGTTCCTGTTTAATGTGGTCCCATGGACAGCCTGTACTACGAGATGAGCTATGGTGTAGCAGCACTGTTAAACCAGATTTATAAGGTTGACCTGCTTCAGGCTTGTATTGAGAATACTAAAGAGGCAGGGCAGTGAACTTCCCAACTACTGATCAGCTCTTTGAGTGCTTTGGTTGTCCCAAGGACTGCTGCTTGCCAGAAAAATGCAGCTTCCCATGTGAGTCAGAGAAGGATCTTGCCTGGGATTTGCTGTGAACTGCCAGATGCTACAGAGGAGAGCATGGGGAATCTTGGAGTGGGAAGTTGAGATACAATATGCATGCACGAGGAAGGTTTTCCTTCTGTTCCCAAAGTTTTGTGCCCTATAACATCAAGATTTGTTCTCTTACAGTAGTCTGTGCTCTTAAAATCACTCCTGTTACTGTCTCAGCATCTGATCTGACTTTAAACCTGCTGTACTGTGGGTCTTGGAGACCTTGTGGTGTGTAGTAACTTCCATGGCATGTGACTGTATTAGAGTCTGTGTGCTTGACTAGTGAGGCAGAGAGATGCTAAGGGACAGCGAAAGGAAATCAGCTGTTAATTTATTTGCCTTCCCTGTCATGCTTGGCTTTGTTTGAGTCTCCTTCAGAGTTTTATGTGCTCAGGAGAAATTCTGCAACAATCAAGATTTGTCTTCCCCCCCTATTGCTTTTGCTTCATTATGTGGCAAAGGGACACTCAGGCTTGCTTTATTACCAGCGGAAAACTCATGGACAGTGGGGGAAGTACTGCCTGAGAAACTTGTGTGGGTTTGTGATAAGCTGGAAGGAAATGAAGATAGAAGTTAAGAGGCTTTCAAAGGGTTAAGTTTCCTTGCTGGTGGTTGAGTGCCCATGGGTGGATGTGTGGTCACCCACACTCAGACCCCAACTGTTTCTCCTGACTTCACTCCATCTGCAATCAGCCCCAAATCAGGATTAGTGGGGAGAGTGTCAGCATGCAAGAATAATTCATCAAGTGATGGAAAACTCATTTGTGTCCTGGAGTCCCTTAGCTGCACCAGCTGTCGTGCATGGAGCAGATGGAGAGCTGCAGGAACCCAACACCTCTGCAGATGGTCCCAAACAGAGCTGTGGCTGCCAGGGGCTGTAGGAACATACTCTGCTTTAGTGGCTTTCTTGGGCTTGGGAGGAAACTTGCTAATCTCTTCCTTTTTGGGTTGGGAAACAGCTTTGGGGCAGGAGTGCAGCTGTGACCTCTGCTGGGTGTGCAGCCCTTGGCACCTGCTCTGCCATGAGCATGGAGATTCCCAGAATTGTGGACTCTGACTGGGCATTGTGAAAGTGGGTGGGAGAAAACCACTTGTAATTGCTAGACAAGATGCAGCCTCTGTACAACCCAGGGTATTGCTCATGAGAGGTCAAATGGTATCCATAACCTTGTTATTTTCTTGTCTTGCAGCTGAGCTTGGTCCTGGCTCGATGCAACCCTCAATGCCACTATTTCCTCTGCTCCACAGAAGATAATTGAAGGATGTTTCTCTTCTGGCTAATGTCAGTCCGCTTTGGTACAGCCTGACTCCTCGTGGGGTGTGAGCAATACCGCACACTGCCTTCAGATGGATGAAAGGAACTATATCAGCTGGCAAAACCTATCCCTGTTTTAACCTTCTGTGTGATTCTTTGGCTTTTTTTTTTTTTTTTTAATCTGTCTCTGCTATGGAGATGGGAGGCTGTGGCTCTGTTTCCTCTCTTAAGTGTTGGAAGAGAGCGATGTGCTGCCCTGCTGAGCAGGCAAGGCTTTTGCTATGTGATAATGAATTTCTGCTTTTGTGGCCCTTGGTGGCTGAGTGGTGGCAGAGAGAGAGCTCAACAGTAACCTGGTAAAAGAACTGGTGTTTGAAAGGAGGGCAATGGGCAGATTGTGAGAAGACTGCAGGGAGAGTGTAAGGAGAGTGCAAGGACCACTTGTCACCCTATTGATGCCAGTTGTGGGTAAAGTCTTCCCCTGTTTACAATGCAGCCTCTGTCCCTCTACAACATCTGTTTTGAGGGACTTCTGTCTGTGGGTTTCTCTGTGTACATCAAATCACTTTCAACTCAGTCCTGTTTTTTTATTTAGTTCCCAGATCATTCTTTAATCACAGTTCCATACCCATGCCAAAATGTCCCTGCCACTTTCCTGTCTCAACAGTGGCAACAGCAGCTTTGTTTCAAATAGCTGCTACCTATCTAAGATGGGTTGGAGGTCTCCTTTCCCAGGTGTGAGGAGTGCTGACCCCTTGTATTATCTCCCTTCTCTGGGAAAATGATTTGCTTGTTCTCTAACATGTGGGCTCCAGTGCCAGTGACTGAAACACTTCTGAAAGTCAGAGGTGGTGGGCACATTGATAACCTAGTTGGAGCTGAACAGGACATCTGGGAAATGGCTGCTGCTCTTATGCTGGAAGCTGCCTTGGTGAAAGGGCATCCTAGTGAATTGTCTGGGGAGGCCAAAGCTTGTTGTGAACTTGAGGAAACTGAATCCCCAGAGAGTGGCACTTCTGGCCTTGGGCCTGAGGTCTGCAAATCAGCTCCTAGGGCTGTTTCTGAACTCTCCCACTCCTTCATACTTCATGGTGTTCACATGTCCCCCCATCCCCTCTTTAAAATCTTATTCCTACTCTCTTCCCATGTCAACATAATTTTGCAAGTTGTTTTTACTCTCCTGGAGGGAGGACACATTGTCTCCATCCTGCATCAGTGTGCTTTCTGCTTAAATTTTGTGCCTCCTGGATTTTCCTCTTTTTGTAAGCATTTAATAAAATTTGAAGATGATGTTGTAATGATGGCAACTCTGAGATTTTTTTTTTTCGTGTAGGAGTTTCTGCAGCAAAGCTGTCTTCCCAGACCTTTCAACTCCCTACTTGAGTGTAAGGTGGAGGAGAAGAAACATCAGGCTCAGTGATAAGAAGTAAAGAAGCTTGACATATGCAGGAAAGGGGATTTCTCTGTATCTGTCCCATTTAGAAACTCATCATTTTGCTACATTTTTCATTGGGGGTAATTGACTGTAAAATGGGAAGGGGTGGTGTTTGGATGAGAGAGGGAGCAGCATGTAGAGACTTTAGAGCATGGTCAGCTAGAAGCACAGAGCTTACCTCCCCAGGTAGTAGACCTGAGCAACATCACAGTCTGTAATCAAAATCCTGTCTCACCTGCTTATCCAGCTTTGATAAGGTCAGTATGGCTGTCTGTACTGGAACCCAGCATGCTAATGAGTTGATGACTCTATCTGGAACCATCTAATGAAAAACGTTTTTATGGAGATGACCTTCCAAGTAATAACCCTTTTATTACTTGTGAAGAGTTTCTACTGTCCTTCCCTATGCTTTCCTAAAGTGTTAGGAAGAGGAAAGCTCTCAGATACCACTTCTTGCTTTTATCTTTCTGCTTATTGGTACCCTTGTCCTTTCCATCTTCTGCTTCAGGTCCTGGAGGTAGGAATTCAAGGAGTCCATGTTCTTTAGAGCACTGAGGAGCATGGACACCATCTGGCCCCATCTTCAGCCCTTCCTCTGCCATGCTGGGATTTTCCAGTGAGGCTGGAGCAGTAGTAGTGTGGGGTGAAAACAGCACTACTTTGCATGTGTGCAAACTGGTTGCAGCAATTTTTCAACTCTGTTCTGTGGTTGACTGGAGGAAAAGATGGCTGGAAACTTCTCCAGTTACTTTTCTTGTGGCCTGCCAGTTTGGAGAGTGCAGACAAGGCCCCAGATGCTGCTTCCATGAGAGTCCTTCTCTAAGGAGGGTTAATTTGTGAAGGATGTTTTCTCCACTTAAAGCCCACGTGGACCTAGATGTGGTTTCAATAAGCAACTGCGGTAATTCAGGTTCTGGTCACAGCAGAGAATCTGAGCAGGTTATGGGAGACCAGAGCTCTCTAGTGGTGGTCAGGAACCAGGGAAAGACCTGGCTTGGAACTGATGTGTGTAGCTCTTTATGAGGTACTTACATCTGCCAGGGGAAATGTTTCCACAGTTAAATTAACTTTTACGATGTGCTGTTTCTCCTCCCAAAGTAACATGGTGTGCACATGGTGGTGGGAGTGGCAGTGGAGTTACCAGAATAGTGAAACCTCCCTCCACCATGCCAAAAAGAAAAAGAAAAAAAAAAGGGATGCTGCAGCCCAGGTATACTGGATGTGCATCTCTGTATTTAAGAGGGGATGGAGACTCATTTCCCCAGTCAGCAGCAAACTGTGGGGACTTATGGTTGATTTTTGTTGCTCCCTTCACAAGAAAACGTCGCAGTGGTGAAGTGCTTCTGCTCATCTGTTGCTGAAATGAAAAGCTCCCACAGGTGAATTTGCTGGGTAGAAACCACTGCGTGTGGTGTGAAGTTACACTGTGACCTTTGCAAAGCCACCCTGCTTCCAGCTCTTCTGCTTGTCTCTGGGACCTCTGCCCTCCTAGGAAGGGCTTCTGGGGACTCACCCTGCTCGCGTGAGCAAAGGACAGCAGGAGGTGTGCCCCTCTGTAGCAGTAACCAGTCTGGTCTTACTCCGTAGCTGACCACTCTATATCTTTCCTGTGTTCAATTTTCACACCGCTGTGTTTTTTGCAGGACTGGCGTGTCAGAGGCTTTCGTTAGGAGACCTTTGCTCAGTCTGCTTCTGGGACTGCTGTGTTCTGAGCATGAGGGCAAACTAAGGTACTGAGTGAGTCTTTCTTGCAGGATTAGGTGTACCCTCAGAGCCTGGTGGAGAAGAGTGATGCTTTCCTGGTTCCTGTATCTGCTGGCTGCCTGTGTCCCTGTCCCCTGTTCTGCTATGCTACCTGAAATTACCATCCCCTGGCAGGCTGTCAGTGTCTGAAGAGAGTAGCTGGAACCCCCATATTACTGCTCTGATCTTGAGGCAGCCCTCAAGGTGTTGCTTCACTGCAGTTCCTTCTTTCTCCATCTTGGCTAGATTATGCAGAAGGGGAACATCCTTACAGCATCTGCTCTGAAATAAATGTGAGGGGCTATGGTAATACTGAAATGTGCTGCTTGTGGCAGGGTTCAGGGCTGCATTTTTCTTCCCAACAGGATTTAACAGATGGTTCTACACAAGTGTTTGCAAGATGGAATTGAAAAACATTACAGTGCCTGTTTCCTGCAGGCCATAAACCAGCATTATTTAAACTTGGGGAAAGCTTATCTGATGGATAACTCAAGTCTCTTTTCAATGTTACATTTTATGTAGCACTTGTTCTGCCTGGAGACTGGGGGCCAGACTTCATCTAGGAGTCTTTTCAAGTATAAAATAATTATAGGCTCATTTTTATGTCCATCCTAACGTATATGTGCTCGCTAATTAACAGATCTCTACTCAACCCTTGCAGCTCTGCATTGGGCCTACAGTGAGGCAATGGACACAAGAGTCTAGAGTTTCCAAATTACTTTGTTCCTTGAAATGTGTCTGCAGTTTCTGCTCTTTGGAAGAAAGGTCAGCCTCAGAGACACCTGAGCCTGAATGTCAGAGCTTTGCCTCCTGCCACCACCACCTTCAGGAAGGAAAATAAACAAGTTTAAAGAGCAGGGCATCTATAAATAATGAGGTGGCAGCTGATATGCTGCTGAACAAGATTCTGAGGTTGGTCCATTGCTAATTCTTGGCAGCTCAACACACTTTCCCTGATTCTGCATTACATATGTACATACAGACATATGTAGATATGTATGTGTTTTAAAGCAGGTAAAGAGTGAATCTCACATTGACAAGAAGTGCAATCGGAGCTACCATTTACTTCAGTAGTGTTGACCCATTATAAGGGTGCTGATAATGGGGCAGACCTGAGGTGATTTCCCTGTGCTTTTGCATTGAGTTCCCTTGGGGTTTAGGTTGCAGTGGAATGATCAGAAATTTTCAGAAATGTGTTTCATCTCTTCTTGTTAAGTGATGGTGATTTATCAATGCTAAAGACATGCACTCTTCATTCTTAAAATAAATAGAAAAAAGTATCATGGATTTGGGGCTTCTGAGGATGAGGGGAAGAATGGGCAGGGAGGGGGAGACTGAAGCAAAGTAAGGGGAAGATATCATTGGGATTTATATGAGCAAGCACTCTAAAGCATGAAAGCAGCCCTGTGCAAGTGTAATTACTCAATCAGAGGTGCTTGGTTGGGCAGGGAGGTCTTCCTCAAGGTTGCAGAGAGACTGAGTGGTTGCTGTGAGCATCTCAGCAGGTCTCCTGCCTTGCTCACCTTCTCTGGGGACACCCCAAAACAGCAGCTGCAGGCATTGGTCCTGGCTCCCATCCTGTTGCTCAGTCTCTTCCTCCCCACTGTCAGACTGTGTCATCCATTTGCACATAAATAGTCTGAGGGTGAGACCCAGGCCCTGTATTGAATGGTCAAGCCTGATCCCTTATCTTTGGAGACACATGTAGTCTAGATCTAGGGTGTCCAAGGACAGTCTCCTGAATCCCAGAGGGATTGTGCCTTAGGTGTCTAAAGCAGATGCAGTGAGCACATCTCCCAAAGCAAACAACTGACGGAGAAACAATCTACCACAGAAATCAGAAATCAATATTGACTGAAGGAAAAGAAATTCACTACTTACTGATGTGTAATTTGTTTCCATCCGAAATCATTTGCATGTTGGGTGCATCGTGTTACTCGGTCCACTTTACAAAATTAAGAGCTGATTGTTCCTTCAAGATCATGTCAGGTGCTGATTTCTTGTGATTTTTAGAGCCCTGTAGGTAAGTTCAAAACACCAGATGGAAAAGAGTGTTTACAGTAGCCACTAAGTACAAGCAGTTTCTCAAAAATAAATAAAGGGACTTTTTAAAAGCATGAAAATTTCCATCACCTAAAATTAGCATGAAGAAGGGCTATCGAGTAACACCACTGCATGCTCCTAACTTTGGCCCTGTGAAGTTCGGCATCTCAAGTACTGGACAGGTGAAGGGCAGATGATGGTGATGTTGCCAGGACAGCTATTCTAGCAGAGTAGCTCCAGGCAATGAAACCAGTTGGAGGCTTTTCAAGTTGGCTGTCAGATTTACTGTTTTGCAAAAGTCAGGGTTGCTAAATGCAGATTTGGAGCTGTGCTTTGATTGTTACCTTCCCAATAACGGAAGAAGGCAAATGCTGGCTCTGTCCCTGCTTGTTCCCAGTGAGGGACGTGCAAGTGCAGAAAATGCTGCAGTGGTAGCAGAGGGTGTTTGGAGTTGATTAGTATGGTGAATTTTAGCTGGGGGCATTTATGTGCAGTTTGACTCAAAGATCTGGGCCAAGACTGCTTAAGTGAGCTGGTAAGGATGGCACCAGTGCCTACCTTTGTCCTGGATAACCTGCGAGTTACCCAAACACTATGCAGTTATTTACTGCCTCTTGGCCTCGGGAAATTTCATCCCTTTTCCAGCTGACTGTTCAGATTGGGCTTTGCTTTTTCACAGCCTTTCAGGAGCCTTTAAGTGTGAATGTAAAGGCAGCTGGGAGGTTACATATATACTCACAGGAAGATGGGGACGTATAAGAACAGTTTTCTGGAGGTTTACAAAGCAGCTTTACACTCAGGTTAAGCTTGGCCTGTTTCGTATGGCTTTTGAGATGCTGGTGAGCTATGCCACAAAGCCAGCTCTGAAGGCAAATTCTTGCTGCTTCTGCAGTACCACACTGCTAAGCCTTGCTGCTCACTGACCCCCTGTGCTAATATATCTGTAATCTGACTTGGAGTTACTCTGTTGTGGATCAAAGTAGCAAAGCATTTTCTACATCCATGAGGGTTGTAGCCCGTCTGATGAGACCAGCTCTCATCAGGGAGGTATATGGTGGTGTTTTTGGGTTGGTGTCG